TTAAGCCGAAGGGCTTAGGATAGGCCTTGCAGATGGGATTCAGATGGGCCTCTAGGACTTGGTATTAGAAAAATAGTCCGGCGGACTAGAAATTTTTTATTTTTATTTATTTTTTACGTGTCGGGCATTTTTTTTTTAATATTAATGTTTAATTTTTTATATTTTTTGTTAAGTAAAAATTATTATTTTATTTTTTTTATTTTTTTTTGAAAATTTTTTATTTTATTTTTATTTTTTAAAATTTTTTTACATGTTGGGCATTTTTTTAAAAACATTAATGTTTAATGTTTTTATATTTTTTTATTTGTTTTATTATTTTATATAAAAATAATTTAACAATTCCTACACTAACAACTATCATCAAAACAAATACAATTTTACTTAATCCCCTCATTATCAATCCCCCTCACTAACAATCCGCTCACTATTAATCTCCTCACTATCAATCCCCTCATTCTACTTCTAAAAACAAACCGGGGTAAGGCCTTTCCACTAAACGCCATATAGTTCATTCTTGCAATGAAAAAAGTAGTGCTTCATTGAGACATATCATGCTAATCCTTTGTAACCTATCATATCTTTGAAGCCAAGACCATTCTTTGTTCATCAATTGTTTAGGAATTTAAGATTTTAGCCAAAAAGTTAAAAAAATTATTATAAATTATCACATCACTTTCTCTACTTTTCTACATATCCTTTCATAAAAAATTAAAAAATCAACTAAAATAGTCAATTTCCAAACGAAAGTATTTGACAACAAATTATAGGAGTTCTCATGATGACTACTAATACATGGTTAGCTGCACAATAGAACCTATTCAAAAAAGATATCAAGAAATCTCTCAGCGGTACACATTTCGGAAGTTATGAGAAAAAAATTTGACCACATCAAGACATAACATTAAACTCAATACAGATGATGCACACATGAGCATCAAAAGACTGATCACTGATCATTGATACTACATGATTCAGATTATTGAGATTTAGCAATACTGGTTTTCGGATCAAAGGATGATTTAACATGTAAGAATAAATATACAGTCCAGGTCAATCAGACTCAACCTGAAGACCATTCTAGGTTTCATAAAAATTTTACAGGGGAAGCAAATAGATTAGCGTGATTAGACCCCTTCCCATACTCTTTGGGGTTCCTAAAAGTGTTGTTGTTCCATACACTATGGTGAGTCAGTCTCACATAAGCAGACTAATTTAAATTGTTAGGTTTTAGGTGGAATTTCATATTTTCTCACAAGTAAGAACTGAGTTGGTTGAAGTTGAGCAAATATAAGTGTACCACAAAGTTAAAGGGTTCGAAACAGTTGTAAATATCCATCATGGCATGACAACTGATGCAACTAACAAACTAACAGAAAATTATCATCATGTATATAAGAAATTTATTGTAATTTGAATACATAACCTGCAAAGTCTTAAACAACAGTAACATATATTTAGAACCGCAGGTTAACCTGAACCAACTAGAGGCTTCTCAATTTGATTCAATTATTCGGTTCCACCAGTTACTCGGTTTCAATTCTGAGTCTAGAAAATGAAACTAAACAAGGTCAATTAAGTTTTTGGGTTTGGCGCTAACCAAAACCAAACCAACCTAACCCAACCTATGCACACCCCTACTAGGCAAAATTATGGATGTTTCCTAAGAGGACTAGAGCAGGCTAACATCAGACGAGATCTTTCTTTGTGTTAATTATTCATAGAAGATAAAGAGTAAAAGTACTCAGATTCTAGTGTTGTGAAATTGTGTTAATTATTCATAGAAGATAAAGAGTAAAAGTACTCAGATTCTAGTGTTGTGAAAGGCGCGCCTAGGCGCAAGGAGTGCGCTTGAAGGGACCCAAGACGAGGCGCATTGAATGAGTCGCGCGCCTTGGATGCAACTTGGCTAGGCGCTAAAAGGCTCAAGGTGCGAGCCTAAGAGGGCTTTTTTTTTTTTTTTTTTTCTCAATCTAAAAGTGTTTTTTTTGTTTTTCATGCTGATCTAACAGCTCTGATCTATGTTCGAAAGGCTCCAACCACATATAATTACAACTCATACAATACAACTAAACCCAATCAGTCGACGAGTCAAATCCCTAATCTATCGAAGAAATCTATGTCGTCTCTTCGTCTAGGCTCATCTCTCTCGACTTTGACTTCGATTGAGGACTTCGAAATCTTGAGGTCAGTTCTTCTTCTTCTTCTTCGTTGGTTGCTACTTGATAATTCGATTCGATTTGACCTCTCTCTCTCTCTCTCTCTCTCTCTCTCTCTCTCTCTCTCCTACTTCTTCTTAGCTCTCTGTTTTTTTCTTTTTTCTTAATGTTTTGGATGTTTGGTTCTTTCTTTTCCTTTCTTTTCTTTTCTTTTTTTTTTTTTTTTTGAATGTGGAATGCTATGTAATATGCACTTTTATGGCTTTGAGAATTGTTCTATAATTTGCCTTGGTTATCAATTTTTTTTTTTTAAAAATTGTCTTAGTACTAGTATGAATCATTAGTCTATGTTAATTTATCTATTTTTTACTAAGACTGTGCGCCTTGCTTCAATGAAGCCCGTGCCTTGCCTTGCGCCTAGACCCCAAGAGACCTTCAACGCCTTGGTGCGCCTTGAGCCTTTGAAAACATTCTCAAATATTATGGATGTCTTGGTGTCAATATCCGAAGAATCTCAAAAGATCATAATCTCAGCTTATGAACAATCTCTATCTAAAGTGCAAATATCCCTAGACTGGTACTGGCCTCTAGTGTTCAAAAAATTTCTACTGTTTACTCTAGAAGAACTTCGCTGTACCGTGTTTAGTAGCATCTCATTGTTTACACAACCAAACCAAAGTACAGAGAAAAAAAGTAGGATCGTGATAATCTGACAGCCAACATAAACTTATAGGCACACCATATGAACATGGATTCTAAGAATTTTTCAGTTAGGGCATCTCCTACTTGCAACGTCAGAGTCTGGGTATTGTGGAAGATGGGCAAGAGTGAGTGAGTGAGTGAGTGATGCATATATATATATAGAGTGAGTGAGTGGATGATGCATATCTGTTAAAATTCACCTACTCTCCACCTACTTCACCCACTTAAACCTACTCCACTAAACCTAACCCACTACACCACTACCACCTCACCTTACTTCACCCACTTAAACCTACTCCACTAAACCTAACCCACTAAATCCACATACTCTCCACCTACTTCACCCACTTAAACCTACTCCACTAAACCTAACCCACTAAATCCACATACTCTCCACCTACTTCACCCACTTAAACCTACTCCACTAAACCTAACCCACTAAATCCACATACTCTCCACCTACTTCACCCACTTAAACCTACTCCACTAAACCTAACCCACTAAATCCACATACTCTCCACCTACTTCACCCACTTAAACCTACTCCACTAAACCTAACCCACTAAATCCACATACTCTCCACCTACTTCACCCACTTAAACCTTTGATGCTATAGTAGTTAAATTTTTATTTTTGTATTTGATTGAGATGTTTAATTATCCATGTGTGATTTGTGTTTTTTTTTTTTTTTTTTTTTTTGTTTTTGATGCTGATCTAACAGCTCTGATCTATGTTCGAAAGGCTCCAACCACATATAATTACAACTCATACAATACAACTAAACCCAATCAGTCGACGAGTCAAATCCCTAATCTATCGAAGAAATCTATGTCGTCTCTTCGTCTAGGCTCATCTCTCTCGACTTTGACTTCGATTGAGGACTTCGAAATCTTGAGGTCAGTTCTTCTTCTTCTTCTTCGTTGGTTGCTACTTGGTGATTCGATTCGATTTGACCTCTCTCTCTCTCTCTCTCCCCTACTTCTTCTTAGCTCTCTGTTTTTTTCTTTTTTCTTAATGTTTTGGATGTTTGGTTCTTTCTTTTCCTTTCTTTTCTTTTTTTTTTTTTTTTTTTGAATGTGGAATGCTATGTAATATGCACTTTCATGGCTTTGAGAATTGTTCTATAATTTGCCTTGGTTATCAAATTTTTTTTTTTTTTTAAATTGTCTTAGTACTAGTATGAATCATTAGTCTATGTTAATTTATCTATTTTTTACTAAGACTGTGTGCCTTCCTTCAATGAAGCCCGTGCCTCGCCTTGTGCCTAAACCCCAAGAGACCTTCAACGCCTTGGTATGCTTTGAGCCTTTAAAAACATTCTCAGATATTGTGGATGTCTTGGTGTCAATATCCGAAGAATCTCAAAAGATCATAATCTCAGCTTAAGAACAATCTCTATCTAAAGTGCAAATATCCCTAGTCTGGTACTGTTTTCTAGTGTTCAAAAAATTTCTATTGTTTACTCTAGAAGAACTTCTGTTTAGTAGCATCTCATTGTTTACACAACCAAACCAAAGTACAGAGAAAAAAAGTAGGATCGTGGTAATCTGACAGCCAACATAAACTTATAGGCACACCATATGAACATGGATTCTAAGAATTTTTCAGTTAGGGCATCTCCTACTTGCAACATCAGAGTCTGGGTATTGTGGAAGATGGGCAAGAGTGAGTGAGTGGATGATGCATATATATATATATATATAGAGAGAGAGAGAGAGAGAGAGAGAGAGAGGATGAGCAAGGATTTCACCCCCTCCCTCTCTATGTTTCTTCTTTTGAAATGATACATTCCAGTACCAATTTTTCAGATTAAATAAATGCAGCCCAAGGAATGGTGAACATAAAATTTGTTATGATAATTCTTAATGACTTAAAAACAAACAAATAACACAAAAGTAGTAATTTCATCAACCAGTGTCATGGCGTTAGGCCCGAATTCAATGTAATCATTTTAGCCAAGGAAAATTCTCTTTCCCACAACATCCACCAAACAAACAAACCAAAAGAAATCAACTAGGCAGGGTCGCATAGTGCATTATTTTGAAATGGTGAATCTGATAGGATTTTTTTTTTTTTTAATATTTAAAATATGTATCCAATAGGCAATGTTCCACCATGATTTAAATTGAGATACAATCAAAATGACCAAATGGAATTGTAAATTGGAACCTATCCATTATTTTGTAGAATCAAAAATTGCTGAGCTTCAAACAACCCAAGGTGACATTCCAGTTACTCCACTCTCAACGAGTTAAAACTTGACATACAGACAGAATCATCTCTAACAGACCAGAAGATGGAAATCAGCAGTCGTTAGCTGATTTGAAACAGTACATTAAAACATTAACATATTTTAACTGATCTCTTACAATGATAGAAGTACCCAAAGCGCTCCACTATGATTGAGATTGTCCAAGTAGACAAGCAAGCACTTGTTGAAAGACGATAACCACCAATGAAAAACCATGACCTTCTAAATATGAATGAGCAGCTCTTCTCGTTTTCTAGATTAACCTTGTCCAAATATAGTCATTCTCAACAAAATGGAACACTAGCCAAGTTCAACTGAGATAATCCATCCTTTGAGAATGGGAAGCTCACTTGTACCAAAATTTCTAGCGATCCAGCATGCTGGGTTGTTAAGAGTCATGAGTCAAAACAAATTGATATAAGAGCAGCTAGCCACTTTATGTTTCAGAGTTTCACTTTTGCCATGGAAGTTTAGAAAAGCCAAATTATAGAAGATTGCATTGCCCAACGAAAATGACTGATTCCGGGTGTACTTGCAATCGGTGAAATGCAATCTCTGAAATGAGAACATGAACTCCACCATCAATGAATCTCAAACCTTTATAATAAAAACAAATGGCTACAATTCAGTGGGGCCTCGACTCGAGCATACACCATGTGTCCTCATCAGCTCTATACTCTCTGCAATTGTTGACCCAGCAGTTCCAACAAAACCAAGTGAAGCGCAGCTGCAAACAGCTTCCTCAATGTATAGAAGCATATCAGGTAAATATGGAGGACGACAATTTTTCTTCATTCTATCAAGACTCTCTGAAAGAAACACAAACTTCTTCTCATTTCCAGACGCTGCAAGATTCTTTGCAGTTCTTGTCACTAGCTCATCTTTTTCTCTAAGAACATGAAGCTTGAAGGCATCTGAATCTCTTGATAAGTCCTCCAAATAACTTCCAGTCCAATTACCTTGTGGAAGATCAGTCATCACAAAAATATGAATTGGGAGAGGACCATCGTGTCTTAAAGATTCTATCTTTTGTTGTAAACCCAGAAAAGTAGTCTTCCAGTGGTTCTTGAACTGCCCATCCAACAATCTAAGCTGAGCACACAGAAAAGGAGATTTGATTGTCTTGGAAGCAAATTCCTTCCCTGCACTCATGATCTCAGGGACGAATGAGAGGAAGCTTATCTTCTCAATTAACAATTGCATTGTTTGATCTCTCGGAGATTCATGAATATCAATGTATAGTTCAGAACCTTTATATGGTGCAGTGAAAAGGCTTCCAAATGCCAAAACAGTGGCCAATTCAGCTCTGGAACCAGGTCCAAGCGTTTGATATACATCTTGACGCTTCCTGACATATGAAATTTTCTTTTTCTTCTTAAGTTGTTCATCAGGCTGGAATGAATCTAATATCCCATCTTCACCATCTTTCCCATAAGTCCAAACGGTTGTCCTGCAATCTTCATCTAGAGCATATAAACAATTATTTACATTACCATTGTACCCAGATAATAGAGACCCACATTGCCTCAGGGTGTCCAACAAAGACGACTGTTTGTTTGACTCTTTAGAGCAAACCAAGTCTATATTTACACCACACCAGATAGATATAAAAACACTGAAATCTATTACTCGAACATCTGAAGCAGTTACTAATTTTGAAATATCAGTTACATCAGCCATGGATACGTATCTGCAACCAGTGAATTAAGTGAAATATCAGAAAATAACTTTTAATTAATCTTCTATTCAATCAAAAACCAAACATGGTGATACAACTATGATAACTAAAGGCAAGCCAAACAAACAAAAAAGTTCATTATTATTACGAAATTCAGCAATTTCTCTACAATAGAGTACAGTGCAAAAAATAGAAGAAAAACCCAATTACAACCAGAACATAATCTTGAGACCAAAGTATATAAACGTGTTTGTGTGTATATCTATTCTATTATATAAAGTACACAACTCAAAACAATTTTGAAGCTTTGTCACCCCTTTTCCCCCCCAGGTATGCCTATACTGTTAACTGGTCCAGTAAATACACCAAATAGTCTTCAAATTCAACCCATTTTACTCATTCATCAATCCGCCAAAAAATTTAGATGTAAAATTGCAAACGCCTTTGTCACACTTTTTTTTCTTCTTCAAGAAACCCATATTGTTAACTCCTCCCATAATAAATGTTTCCAAATTCAACCCATTTTCCTCATTTGTCAAATTGCCAAAAAATTTAGATGTAAAGTTGCAAAAAATTAATAGGACTTAATTAGACCCACAATCAATCTTGAGAAACTGAACAATTCACATCTATACAAAGTTCTATATATAAAGAACGTGTACATATATACATATATATGATCTCAAATTACTTGCCTGCGACTCTGAATGAGCTCAATCGTGTGGTTCCAGACAGTAAAACGAAGCTGGTTGGGACTCAAAACCCTAAATTTAGGGCAACTACCGAGAACAACTGCGTGGTGATCCAGAACCGGAGGGACAATTAGGGTTCGATTGAGTATCGCGGCCATCAAAATGGCGTACTTGAACTCAGACAACTGGTTGCTGAACCCGCTGTGGGGTGCGTACCAGAGGAATTTCTCTCCAGCTAGGGTTTTCTGTGAGGTGCAGAGGTGGGGGGACTGGGGTTGGGGGGAATATTTTAGGGTGGAGAGGAGAGAATTGGAAATGTGCTTGGAGGAGAGGAAGAGGAGGAGAGAGATGAGGAGGAAGAGGAGAGAGATTGGGAGGAGATAGGAGGGTGATCTGAGAGGGGATTTCTTCGTCCATCTGATGTTTGTTCTGTTGTTGAAGTTGAGAGATTCCATCACACACTCTCTCTTGAAAATTACGGGTTTTGATTTCAATTGGTGGTGATGGTCTAAAAATGGTCCTTTCATTTAACAGTACTGATCGGTTGTCCAGAAAATATGCAAGAAAATGGAAAGAAATAATTTGGGGTGGGGGGTGTTCAAGATCGGTTGTTCAGAAAATATGCAAGAAAATGGAAAGAAACAATTTTTGGGGGATCAAGATCCACCCCTTAACTTTTCTCCTTGAGTTCCTATTTGTGGGGCATCGGGTCAACTTTTAGGTCGAATTTTTATAATATAAATTATTCATATTTTAAGATTTGTTAATTATATCATATCTGTAAAAAATTAAATTAATCAGATATCAAAAAGTTTTTGTTCGGATCATCGAATTAAAAATTATTTTTTAAAAAATTTAATAAACAGTTTTCCGAACACATATTTTCTGATATCCGATCAATTTGATTTTTTACAAATATAATATAATTAACGAATCTTAAAATGTGAACGGTTCAAATTATCGAAATTGGGCCTAAAAGTGGGCCCAATTACCCAGCAAGTAGGAAGTCAAAGAGGGTAGGCAAGGAGGAAATCCTTATTCGGGGGCGGGGGTGGTGGAGTTCTGTTATACATGCCCATATCATATTTTTTTGGGGCATTTACATACAAGTCTCATTTTGTAAACTTATAATCCATTAAAGCCTACATAAAATTATTTGCTCCTCAAAGTCCTATTAATTTTTAATAAGCCAATTTACCCTTCCAAGACCTCCTCACCAAACACACACACACACACACACACACACACACACTCTCTCTCTCTCTCTCTCTCTCTCTCTCCTCCCCACAGACCCAGTCTCTAGTCTCCTCCGTATGACTCCACCTATAACTATCTCTATGTGACCGTGTATACTTGGAACAACAATGGTAGATTTTAATTTGATTTTAGGAGACTAACCTGGAGGAAGCAATTTCTTAAGGAAAAGCTTCTTCTTGGCGAACCTCCGATTCCAATCGAAAAGCTGAAAGAAAATACCAACACAGCCCCCAGGCTTATGAGGCCGCTTCTCCACTATGACCAGAGACGAACCCTTCTTCCCTGCACTCTCATTCATGGCTCTAACAACACAACGCAAATGATCTCAAACCCTAGACCTAAAACACTGGAATCCTCTTCTAATCAATCAGATTGAATAGTCGAGAACGAAAAAAATCCCCCACAAAATCCATAAATAAGTCCTAATTTTCCACAAAAGAAGCACTCTCTGCAATTCCTTAATTTGGGTTAAAGACACTCAGATATTTTAGCTAAAGCCTCGCTATCTCTCTTTATTTCTATCTAAAACTGTCATCGAATAATGCTTCAATCTACATCAACACTGTGTAAATTAAGGAAATTACCGTTACCTCACTCAGGGAATTTGCAGAGATAGCTCGGCCACTGCCATTAGAGATAGAGAGAGATTTATGATTTTTTGAAATTGAGAACATTCTCAATTTATAATGTTCTCAATTTTAATCATGAAAAAATCGAGAAAATTCTCAAAATTGATAATTATAAATTTTTTAGTTTTGATAGTTTTGATAATATCTCAGTTCATACTAGAAATTTTTTTTCTAATTTTGATAATTATAAATTGAGAACATTCTCAGTTTTGAAATTGTGAACATTCTCAATTTTGAGATTAAAGGGCAAAACGTCTTTTTACCTGTACATGGGACTTATTGGTTCAAAAATTTTTTGATAGGACCTAAGCTACCACCAAATGTATAGATAGGACTTTTAGGTAATTAACTCTATTTTTTTTAATTATGGCCATTTTTTTTTTAGTTTTTTTTAAAAAAAATATATGAGATATATTTCTTTTATGTTTGGCTCTCGTGTGATTTTACTTTTTCTTTTTCTTTCTTTCTTTGATTTAATTTTTTGAAAACATAATTTTAGATTTTATAAATATTTTAGTTTTAATATTTAGATTATATGTATTTAAAAAGTTAAAAAACAAAAACAAAATTTGACTTATAATAATAAATAATTTTACTAAAGATTGAAAAACGCAAAAAGTAAAAAAACTCTACAGTAAATTAAAAATAAAAGAAATGTTAGAGATCTCGAATATTTTACTAATATTCTATTAAATATCTCACATGGGTGTGAGACTCATATGCGAGACATTTTGTAGAATATTTGGTAAAACATTTGAGATCTCTAGTATTACTCTATAAATATATATTAAAATACAAATCACCTATGTTGATTTAGAAATTATATTTCATCCCCTGAGGTTTCTCATTTCATAATAAATTGTCACTTTTATTAATAAATTATCAAGTCAATTAACAGTTTTTAATGATATTATAAATATATTTTAATTAATCATTTAGATAATTTTATTATTCTATAAGAGAGCAATTATGAATTTTATTTTTTTAGTTAATTTTGTTAAATAAAAAATTCTTACAGTGAGCTATTTATAATTTTTTCCAATCACATGAAACAATCTGTATTTTAAGCAAACCTCAAGAAGTATATTTGTAATTTATCCAAAACTCTAAAATAAGTTTAAAAAATTCAACCCAAACAAAATTACAATTGAAAATTACTTTGCACAAAAAGTTTAATATGAAAGCATCAAATGTTTTCGAAATTTAGTATTATTTTTACTTTTTTTAAAAAGAAAACCACAAAATTGAATTTGATACCAAACGGGAATTACTTTCATTTTATTGATATTGAAAAATACCAAATGTCTTGACCAAAAAAAAAAACCCAAAAATAAATGTTTCAAATTAAGATTTCTTTTGGAAAGGAAATAAAAAAAATTAACTTATTGACTTATTTGGGTCACATCACTTCTTTATTTTTTTATATATTTTTTTTTATAAAAAAAAAAAGATCAATAATAAAAAAAAAATCTCCTTCCAAAATAGACCTAAGTGAGCTTGATTATTATTGTTTTATCATTGAGTTCTTTTTTCTATCTATTATGTCTATATAATGACATCTTGAACGGTGTGTCTTTTTTTTACTAAATTTAAGTAAAAATTTGAATAAAAATTTCATTTGATATCAAGTGCTCTAACGGAGGTATTTAAGACTTTATCAAACTACTGATCGAAGCAATATAATTGAGGGAACCTAAGAACCTTTGTAATTGGGTTTTATCAAGAATTTCATCAGGAAACTTGGAGGCAAATTCAATGGATCTATTAATGAGGAGAATAGTATTATGGTAAATATCATATCCTAAAAACCTAACCTTGGTTTGAAATAATTTAATCTTAGGAGCAGATATGACTAGACCATGACTTTTAATTGTGTAAAAGAATGCAGTTAAATGTTTCCAATGTTCACTAAGTGATTTTGAAAAAATTAGTATATCGTCAATGTAAACAATGGAAAAATGACTAAAAGGGTTGAATATGTCATTCATGATATGTTGGAATTCACTAGGAGCATTTTTTAAACCAAATGGCATGACATTCCATTCATATTGACCAAAGGGAGTATTAAATGCAGTCTTGTATCTATCTTTAGGATGAATTTGTATTTGCCAAAAACCACTTTTTAAATCGAACTTACTAAAGATAACGGTTTGACTAAGTCGTTTAATTAAATCTTTTTTATTAGGAATAGGATACCGAATCCATTCTAAGACATCATTCAAAGGTTTGTAATTGATAACTAAGCGAGGAACACCTCGTTCTAATTCTGCATTTTTATTAACATAAAAAGCAGAGCAAGACCATGGTGATTTACTGGGACTAATGATTCGATGTTGGAGCAAGTCATTAATTTCTTTTTTGCACATTTCAAGTAATTCATGATTCATTTGAATTGGTCGAGATTTAGTAGGGATATGTCGTTCATTAAAATTTTTAATATATGGTAAGGTAACTACATGTTTTTTCCTATGCCAAAATGCAGTAAGTAAAGTGGAGCAAACAGTTGATTCAAGTTTTAATTTAAAATCATTGATTTGGGAAACAAGAACTGGATTAGTTAATTGTTGGTCAATGCGTTTGTGATTTATTTCTTCTTTAAGAAATTTTAAATGTCGAGTCAGGCGGTTAATTTGATGAGAAATAGAACAATCTTTTAATTGGTTTAAGTGTAATAATTCAGGAGGAGATAAAAATTTGAATGTAACAGGTTGTCCTAAAACATGAGTAGTTATTCATGTACTAGATGTAGTAAAAGGATATAATAAATATATAAATGGAGATCCTAAAATGATTTTATCAGTCATATTGGTAACTAGAACAAAAGAGGTTTTAAAACATGCATTATCTTGGCAAACATGTACTTTTGGTAATTTATATTTGATATGCATTTTAGTACCGTTAGCAGAAGTTAATTTTTCTTGACATTTTTCATAATATGTAGTAGGAAGTAATCCTTCTTGTATGCAATTTAAATCAGCACCAGTATCAATTAAAGCGATTAATTCTAATTCAAAATTATTAACAATTATTTTGATTTTAGAATACCATTTTTGAATATAAAGTTTATTAATTAAACTTAACCGTTTTTCATCAGAATTGTTGGATTGAGATGGACGGGATTGGTTATCAAATATTAAGTTGTCCGGACTAGGATCAGAATCATGTTCAGATTCATGTGGGGATTCGTGCTCATTAGGTTGGAAATTATCTAAACTTTTATTAATTTTTAAAGTAATAATTTCATCTTCGAGTTTTTTATCTTTATGTTGTAATTCTTTGATGGTTTGTTTAATCTGATTGATTTCGTGTTGTAAATCTTGTAATGTGACTTCTTTTTGTTTATTTTTAAATCGTTCTAAAGTTTTGGATAGACTGATGACTGGTTTATCAAACTTTGGTTTGGAATCTGAATGGATTAATAGGGATTTTAATTTATCAGTATATTTTTGTTTTAACTTGGGATCATCTAGCTTACTAATGAGATCGATTAGAGCGGATTCTTCTTGAGTAGTTTTGGTGAGAACAGTAATTTGTTTAACTGGTTTGCAACAAACATCATTACAACCTATCTTAATATCATTATCAGAATCGTCACTGGGTGATGGGGAATCAGAGGAAGTAGCAGGATGATCAGAAGAGGAACTACTAAGGGAGTGATTTAATTGAAAGATTTCATATAACTGATTTTTGGAGGTAGCATCAATTTGAAGTTGATTAACTCTATCTTTTAATTTTTGTTTGTCTTTACATT